GCAGGAGGTCCCAGGGTGTGAAATTTGTCCCAGTTGTGTAAACAGTGTGTCCACAGGGGGGCCAGGGGCTTTGTCGGCTCTGGTGAAAAAGCAAAACACAGAAGGGGAAAAGTCAGGCACCATTTGTGAGAAAAGTCCCAGGTGGGCTGGGGATGGGGACAATTAATGAGGGTGATTAGGAGCTCTTTGTACCCGCAGGCACAGGGGAGGGTGATGGATTCGGGAGTTGGAAGGGGGGGCATGCAGGAGGAAATCATTCTGTGCTAAGGGGTATCCAGAGAATCGCACTGGGAGAGAAGGAGAGGGCAAGACAGAAGGGATGGAAATGAGAGCAGAGGAGGGAGAAAGGGAGGAAGAGGGGCGGGAAAGCAAAGGAGAGACATGGAGATTAACTGGGTGCACCAAGGCCATGGAACTTGCTCAGACAATAGCCACATTCTCCCCCTGGGCTGGATCGTCCTAGGGAAGCAAGGTCCACAGCCCTGGGTGCGGAGACTTGCTGTGTGCCAAATCTGTGTCAGTCCTCATGCAGCTCCCTGGGCTGTATGGTACCAGGGCAGCAGTTTGACAGCACAGAGAGAACAGCTGGATCCCCAGCACTGTGCCAGGGTTGGGGGCATCCCACTGTATGGGAAGTGGAGCTGGTGGGATCTGGGCACACAATTGGAAGGGAAGGAAGACATGGGAACCCCAAGGCAGGAAAGGATACTGTGCTGCCCTTTCCTCTGCTGGGGCTCTTAGGTGCATCAGTCATTGCCAGGGAACCAGTCCCTTGTGGCAGGCAGAAACCAGCCCATTTCCCTGGGACTGTACATGAGAGGGACCTGTAATTCAGCACAGGAGACTGAGGGACAGAGCTACCATTATAGCCAGAGCTGGGGAAATCCAGACCACGCTTTGGCTTCAGTATCTCTGTCAAGCTGCCTCAGCTTCAGATTCCACCCCTCCTCCACCCCCGCCCTCAACACCCTTCAGCCTAAGGCAGTGGCTCTCATTCTTTTAAGGCTCAAGGTACCTCTCAGAGAACACCAGCTCTGAGCTTTCACTCATTTCTTGACTACGGAAAAATAATACAGCAATTCTTCTGGTGCAAAGAACTCAACAAAGCCCACAACAGGTCAGAATGGTTTTGACACTCTGGATTCCTATTTGAAATCACTGGGTTTTTCTTGCACATCTAACACTGCTAGTATTGCACAGCACCCTTAAAGGGTCTCATGGCACCCTGATTGAGAATCACAGATCAAAGGCTTGCCCCAGCCCTACAGGCCATCAGACTTGCATGCTTAGGGCACACCAGTATACACAGCAAGTGAGGAAGGGATGCAGCCAGCATCACAGTGAGCTGGGGACCTACTTACAGCTGGACCAATTACCAGTAGCCTCTAGTACCAGTCCTAAGCAGGGCTCAAACTCACACCTCTGAAGCAGAGAGCAATAACTGCCCTCTTTAGCACTCCCCTGCTATCAGCTCCACCTCACAGAAACCAGCTGGCATGGTTTCTGTGGGGTGGTAGGACCATGCTGAGTGCTCCACTGCAGGTGTGGGATCTCTCCTCCTTGGCAGAGTCCTCCCTCTGCACTCCCAGCCCAGCAGAGTATAAGGGGTCCTCCCCTGAGTCCTCCCACCCCCAAGATGAACCAGAGTTACTGGCTGACACTGAGCCTCCATTGGGGTTTCCTTAGGAGCTGGAACACACACCCACAGATCAGGGCCACTTTTAACAAATAGGTCTATTGAACGGTTCCTCAATCAGAGCCCACTCCTGTGCTCCACAGCCCCCTCTGGAGATACTCCACACATGCTTCTCAGCTGGCCTGAATCTCACTCCATCTCAGGCCAAAGGGCATTAATGAAGCTTTAACAGGATTTGTTGAGAGGCCTCTGATTAACACGTATTCCCAGGGAGTGACAGGTTAGTCCAGCACTGTCACACCCAGCTACCCTCTTCTCTCAGCCTAGGCTGATCTCTGCTCCCCTTGGTTCTGCTGGAATGGAGCCATGATAAGCCCTAGCACCTCCTTCTATGAGCCCCAGCCTTTGGGCCAGGAGGAAGGAGCTGGAGGCTCATAGAACGAGTCAAAGCAAAACAGACTTTACCCAGGGACCTGCCTAAGGCATCTGAACTGCTGAGCATTGCGATCCTGAGACTGTAGGGGCTGTGGACACATTCTGTCCTTCTGGACTGAGTCACAGTCAGACTCACCCTAGGCAGCTCCTCACCCCTTTGGGGGATCCTGCTTTCTCACTCCCCCAGAGACATGGCGTGAAGAAATCCCCACCACTGTTCCCTCCCCTCTGACTGTAAGAGCTTTCTCCATGGTCAGTCTAGCTCACTCTCACTCCATACACTGCTCTGACCCCTGGGCTTTGGCATTGACTCTAGTCCTGGCAAAGTGACCATAGGCTTGGGAACATAAAGCTGGCACCTTTGCAGAAAGGACCCATCAACCTAGGGACAATCCAGCTATGAAAAACACAGCTGTGTGCCTGTGGCAAACATTTCTGAGCACAGTGGTGTCTGGCTGATGCCTTAGGCTGTCTGCTTAGTTCCCAAGTATACACTAGTTTCTGCTAGTACAAAGCAAGGACTTCAAGTCAACTCAGAGACTCATCACAATGGCCTGCTAACATCTAATTGTTAATACCTACTGCTCCTTGTTTTGGAAAAATCTGTTCCTCAGGTTTTTGAGTCATATCATTGAAAGCTCACACCCACCACAACATGTGCATCTCTCTGCATGCTTCCAATTTAAAAAAGACAGTTTGGAGAGAATTCGACCCCAAGAAGAACCAAAGACTCCATGAAGTGCTCCATCAAATACCCTCTGCCTGTTAACTTTGTATGGAAAGTGTTCAGATACTTAGGGGACCGGCAGCAAGATAAACTCCTAAAAGGGACAGGTAGTCTCAATCTGACATTACAGATGAGGAGACTGAGTCATGGAGAAGGTAAGTGCCTTGCTCACAGTTGCGCTGCACCCAGTAACAGAGCTCTGGGGGAGATGGGAGTGGATTGGGCACGGAGTTTTCCAACAAAATGGTTTCATGCCAATTTTAACAAGCAAGGGATTGCTGGCCCAAAGCACAAGAGCATGTGAAATCTCACACATCCAGAAGAGCCAATAGCCTAGCTTTCAAGCAATTCAGCTGGATCATAGAAGATCTCAGCTCAAGTTCCTGCTCAACCTGATTCAGACCAGGCACACACCAGTTTTCTAACAGTCAGAAAGAGGGCCTCAGTCACCAAGCTACTGCTGGACAAGGGGGAGGTTGTTCCACTTTCGATAAACAGTTAAACATTCACTGAAGTAGGGGCTTGAACCTTGGTCTCCCACTACCCAGGAAAGTCCCTGATAAATAAGCTCCAGGTTCAGACTCAGTCTGATTTTCTTCTGGTGGAGTAGCTCCACTTTGCATGAATAATTATTGAATGCTAATGGGGCCAGTGAGAGTGTGACCATGTGGGGCCAACTCTACAGCCTAGTGGGTGTGTTACTTACCAACGATATGAAAGACCAAGGTCCAAGCCCCTTCTCAGGGGAGGATTTAATTATCTATGCAAAATGGAGGAGCCCCAAAGAGGAGAGTTGGAAAGTCCTGCCTACCTGGAAGAACCCAATGGCCAAGCACTTTTTGAAGGCAGGAGGACTAAGTTCAAAGCCCTGGCCTTAACCAAGTAGAACTGGGCCTTGAACCATGATCTCCTACATGCTAGACAAGTTCATGAACTACTCCACTCTGGGCTGGGGGGAGGAGAAGTTCCCCTCTTGCTTTCAGGAAAAGCTTCATCCCAGAGCAAGAGAGAAAAGAACTGGTATTCCCTAAGGCCAGGTCTCCTTGCTACAACCAGGGGCACTCCATAAAGGGCAGCACTGAGGCAATGGAGCTGCCATAGTGAGGCCTAAGTGGGCACCGATTAATACAGCCAAGACAGGTACCCTAAGAGTGGCTCTGGATGTACGCTTGGTGCTGCTGTGAGGAAACTGCCTGCCTTCTTTTTTGGGAATTGGGCTGCACAGAGCAGGAGAGAGTGTCCAGGATGTGCACTGTATCAGTACAGACAAAGAAACACTGTCCTTCAGTACTGGCGACAAACAGCCTGCCCATCTGTCTATGGGCCTCATCATAATGGCACCAAGGAACCCATGTGTTCCCTAGAAGTGCACAGGACGAGCAAGGGGATGAGCAGGTAAAGAAAAGCAATTTAGACAAAGTACTGAAGGACACCTTTCTTTCCCTCCCCCATTGCCTCTGAGGGGGCTCACCCCAGAGGTCCATTTGCTATTCTCCTTAGCAAGTATGAACCAGATTAGACATGCCCGGGACAGCCGCGAAGGCCAGGCAGGTCATCTCCCAAGAGGGACAAAGAAAGAAAAGAGCAAATGGTCCCAGCAAGGCCCTGACTATTGTGTCCAAATGTCCCAAATGTTCCATCTCTGAGAACAAGCTTATGAAGCCCTTCGGCAGAGCACAATTTGTCACTGGTGGGGCTCCCCTCTTCCCTCCACTGGTGGCCACATCCTGGCTGCTGAGTGCATGTAGGATGTGCAGGGCCTGTTGCGTCTTCCCATTTGTTTCTCATTTGGGCTTGGAGTCTTAGAATAACAAACCCTGCAGAGGGCAAGGAAAGCTGTTGGGAGAGGAGCTGCCAGCCAAGGCAGATCCCCCTCAAACCACATATCCCTGAACATCAGGTAGTGAAAGGCCTTACAGCCTCTGGTAAGAAGCCAGAGGTGATCACAGAGGTGCAATTTTCAGACAGGCAGGGGTGAGAGGCCAACAGGCAGACAGGGATACTACTGGGTAGACTTTCTAAATCCACCTCCTTCCATTTAAAATGTGGAGTGCCAGTGTCTGTAAGGCATCGTGTGCACATTTGCACC